GCACCCTCATTGGACCTGTTGTACCGTGAGCAAAGTCCCGTCCACACAGTCAATGGTAGCCACTTAGGAGCTATTTTATGGTTACTCTTTCTTTTGGTATTGGCCATTACTTTTTTGCCACCTCTGGTTTCCTCTGGAAGCTCTCGTGGGGCCAGATCCATAGCTGATGTAAATCAGCAGGGACTCTGCTGGAACTAAATCAATCTACACCAGCTGAGGATCTGGCCAATTGTCTCCCTGATTGCCTATGTCCTAATGGAAAGCCCATCAAAGTCAATGAAAAGTCTCAAACTTCAATGGGCTTTGGATCAGGCGCCTCGTGCTTTGGACCTGGCCCAGGGGGCTGAGATGCAGAGCACTAACGGTAAATATCAGCCCGTTGCTGGGCAGGAAAATGTCAATTCAGCAGGAAAATGTCAATTCAGCAGGAAATGCCATGGCTGCAGTACAGACCATATGCTAAATGTTTGTTATCTCCAGGTTCAGCTTGATTAAAACTTGTCTTTAGTTCCTTCTAGGTGGCCATTTGCCTAGAATAAGGATTTCCTATCAGTTATGTCAGGCTTGCCAGCGCCTTATGTGAGCTGCTGGCTCATTGTGGATATGTATGCAGTGGCAGATAGTTAGCAAAGGGAAATGCTGGCAGAATGATGTTGCCCATGATACATGTTAGAGCGAAGATTAACAGAGCTTGACCAGAGAATGGGGAGATCTATTGTTAGTACTACCTGCCTGACTGGGCTCAAAGGGACACACTATCTACCTATTGTATTCACACTTACCGTAGAGTGACAGCATGGTCAGATATGGTGTGGTCCAGAGCCCTGAACTCTATTCCTGGATCTGCCACTGAGCTGCCAGGTGACTTTAGAAAGTCACTTAGTTCCTCTGTTTCTCCCCCCCCTCCCCCCCGATCTGTTTAGACTGTAAACTCTCTGGGACAGACTATCTCTTGCTATGTATGTACAGTGCCTAGCACAAAGGGGCCTCTAGGTGCTACAATAATATCAGTAATAATAATTCGTTTGGGTGCAAAATGCACTCCAACGAGTTTTACAAGACATAATGGGCTGAATTTAGCACTGGGGTAACTCTGTTCGTTTGCACACACCAGGGATTGACTTGATCCATTAATAATATTAAACAAATGTTCATGGGTTTTTAATATTAAAATCCAAGAAGATCCCATTTTCATTTTTCTTAAATTTTAACATTTCCTTGGAAATGCATGAGAAAAACAAACAGAAACTAGCTATGAACAAAAGTTAAACTGAGCTGTCAAGTTTCATTGTCCAAGCTGAAAAATTTGGAAACAAGCAGCATAAATAATGGGAAACAAATCTGACTTGAAAATGTATTTTAAATGGTAACAATGTAAGGGCCTGATCCTGCCATCCTTTCTCACGCTGGGTCCGATTCTGATAGCCTTGCCCACACTGAATAATACATTACTCAGAGGGCAGCCCCATTGATTTCACAGAGCTACTTGTAGCATAAGATATCAGACTCTGTCCCATTGAGTAGTACCTTACTCTACATATAGTGCAGGTTTCAAAGCCCACTGAAGTCACTGGATTTGTCTCCCACTGACTTCAGTGGACTTTGGCTCAGGCCCAAAGTCCAACTAACTTCGATGGGGTTACTTTGTGTGTATGAAGGGACAGAACTGGGCCCTAAAGTATTTGAGCTCAGATTCACCACTGGCATAAATGGTTGCAACTCCTCAAGCTTCAATTAATTTTATGCTTCTTATGTGAATGGTGAATATTACTAGACCATTTCCATCCAGCTCTTCCAGGGTGCAAGGAAACTACCCAATAGTGAGGTAGCAGGTTCATTGCACTATGACTTCAGATTTTTATCTTGACAGTGTGTCTTGAAATTTCCCTGGAAATTGTCCCAATGTCCCATTTCCCTAAAAATGGTAGGGTATTGTTACCCTTGACATATGCCCACAACTGTACTTTCAAGAGGGTACCATTTCTAGGGCCTAGTTCTGATGGATATTATGGGCTAGATTTTGTTTTCCCTATATCTGGGAGACAGATCGTCCGCTGGTATAAATCAGCCTAACACTATTGACTCCAAAGGAGCTACACTGATTTACATGAGCTAAGGATCTGGCCTCTGGGTTTTTAAATATCCCCAAAATATGTTCGCCCATTTTAGGTGCAGGTGGTAAAACCCTGTTAAATAGTTTTAAAATCTTAACAGTCCTGAAGTTCTGCAGTACGCCTGGGTTTCAGGAGGAATTTTTAGCTAGAGCTGGGCCCACATAATATGTATGCTGAGAAATTTGAATCTGGATTCAGATTTTGACCACCCCCAAAGTTGAGACAGATCTGGTGATTTTGTTCAGGCCCATGGCTGAGGTTGGGGGATGGTATTTGGGTAGAGGGGTCGAGGAGAAATTTTCTACCTTTACAAAAATAGTCATTGACTCAAATGCGGGGCCCCATCTGGCTCCTGATGAGCCAAATTTACAGCTACTGACATCAGCTGAGGTTTCACGGGCAGTAGTGCCATTGCAGTGAAATGGGAGTCTTTCCATTGACTTTAATGGGAGCTATATCAGGGCCGTAGGACAGAGTTTGGCCCACTGTCTGCAACAGGAGCTGAAGTGGGTTCACTGAGCCTGATTCTCCGCTTGCTTACACTGGCTTAAATCAGCAGCAGCTGAGGTTGGCGCAGTTACCCCAGGGTAAAGCCACCAAGGCATTTTCACTGGCTCTTTCTCTCAGTGCAAATTTGCAAGTATACCAGACCGGTTCGGCAGAGAGTTCCTTTCTGCCACCTCAAGTCACAGAGTGTCGCTACAGTGAGAGAGAGGGAGACACTAACGAGCTCGCTTCATATCTTGCCTTCAGACAGCTTCGTCCAGTGGCACTTTGCTCCCTGCCAGCTGTTACCTCAGAAGACCCTTTCGCTGGCTTATAATAAAAAGCAGCAGCATATAGAGAGACGCACACAGAGCTGCCACTATGCTAAGAAACCCTGCAGACAGGAAGACTCGTTAAGGAGCCTGTTGTCATTGTTCCTGACTCTGAGCCTCAGAGGTAGCATTGGGGCCTTTTTAATTTGGGAGCCTGCTAGAGAGGTACATAGAAGGCTGTCAAACGAAGGGGAAGGTGGGGAGGTGGGTGGCTGGAGAAGTTTATTAAAGGGACTCTGTCCCTTGCTTGCTGTCTGCTCTATATTAGTGCTGGGCCCTGATTGGAAAGACCAAGTCAGGCAAAAGCACAGAGGACAAAGCCAGCCCACTAGGTAGCTGCACTCTGGTTCCCAGGTTACTGGATGGGGATGATGTGATTTTCATTGCCATGTCGGAATGACAGTGCTGGGAATTGAAGGGCTCTTAATGAATACTGAATGGCCTTGCTGGAAGTCGGAAGGTCTGTCAAACATTCTCCATGGCCTTGAGGAGCTTAGCATGACCCCCTGAGAGCCAGCTGAGCTATTGACAAGCAGCCACCCTGAATGGGATTTTAGTTGCAGTCTCTTCATTGGGGTAACTATCAGCTTGGGATATTTTGTAACCCTGGGGGTGGGAAGGGGCAGAGTCACATGCCAAATGGATTTTTTTTTAAAGCAATATATTTGCCATTTCTCTTGCAAAATCTCCTTTGGGCCAAATCCTGCTCTCACTCAGTGGACTTATTCTGCACTCACTCTGGACCCGACCAGCAAATCTCTCAAGCACATATTTAATGGGACTACTTGTTGATAAGCACATGCAAAAGTGCACTGGTGGATCAGGGCCAAATAGCAGCACTTGACCCAGTGTGTTCAGTTTAATTCAATTCAGATAAAGATATTGTTCTTATTTTTCTCCTAAATGTCTCCATGTAAGTTAGAGACAGGTCCAGCCCTGAATTTCCACAAAGTTACGGGATGTATGAATCAGGCATGTCTCTGTTAGCAGCTCGCCAGTGTCAGAAGCTATGATTCATTGCTAACCACTGTGGGCAATACTTGCCCCTCTGGAGTTTATGCTAGAACTTATATAGCAGTTCCCACTCATGGATCTCAAAGCTTGGATGAGTTTCGTTATCCCCATTTTACAGAGGAGTTAAGTGACTCACTCACATGGTAATTTAGTGACAGAACTGGAAGAGTCCACTCTCCCAATCCCATGCCCTGTACGCTAGCACACACTGCCTTCCTTGCTGAGATAGGGATGAGGGGTCAGTTGAAGTTTCCTTCAGGACTTTCTGTATTTCAGAGACTAGACTGACCTAGCCATAGAAATGTAGAAATTCAGTGTTCAAGACTCCTGTTTTCGAGCACTTTAATCACTGTTACCCTCTTTCTCATTGGCAAAACTAGATTTAGTCATTTGCAAAGTTAGAAATGCTAAAAATTAAAATAGGGGGAAAGTGCGGGTGGGTTTGACTTCAGATGTTATTCTTTCCCTTCCATGTGTTTAAAAAAAAAGGCTTTTGTTTGCATAATTACATTTTGCAGCTGTTAGAGCTGTTACTCCCTAATGTGGGCTGTGCTTTGGGGCATGATTTGATCCACTGAAAATGGACAAGAAGACACTGAGCTTTGATATCAGCTGCTTCTCATTAATTGCGGTTGCCGGGTATATATCGCTAAGCTTTGTTAGAACACCCCAATGAGCCTAAGCTTAAGGTCCCTGTAATATTCATTAGCTTAGCAGACTGTGCAAACTATCTATGTTTCTGTGCATGTGGGAATTGCAGCTCACAGGCTTCCACGGGCAGCAAGTGTTTGGTTCAACCCCCTCTTCTTTTACTGGAAAGGAAAATTTTAGAGAGTGTGACTGGGGGCATCTGACATGGAGAAGGCTGGAGATAGGAGGTTCTGGCTGGGAGAGGAGACTGACAGGAGTTCTGCATCTGGGGTTGGGGGGAAGTCTGTCTTGCAAAGAAAGGCAGTGATTGTCCATCCCTGCCCACCCTCCTTCCCAGTCGTCAGCAAGAGCTGCTCTGATTTAAAAAACGCTCTCTTTTCTTCCTCTCCCCGTCCCCAACTAGGTTTCCTTTGGATGCTCCTGAGCCTGACCTGCCATAGGGGATGCCCCAGTTCACCTTCGCTTGCTTCTGCGGGCTCCATGGCTTCTGCAAGATGAAGAGGAAAAAAGAAGAGCCCAGCGCAGAGCAGGAGACGTCAGTGTGAGACTTGTCTCGGGTGTATCACGTTTACCCGCTCACTCACATCGCTGGATCCCAGCCCCGGTTTGAACTTGGTATGACACTTTTGCCCTTTGACTGAGATCCCACCTCAGGGGGAATCAGTCCCATTTCTGCTCTCTGACCTCTGTAGCCATGATGAGGCACCCATCACATCTGTGTCCCTTGCTTATTTTGCTCCCCTGCTGTACTGGAGGGTGCGCAGATCGGGGGGTGAGGGGAGAGAAGGGAGTCACAGAAGTGATGCTCCAAACCCTAGGACAGGAAGACCAGCATGTTCATTTAACTCCTAAAAGCAAAGCTGAGTTTCCTATGCTTGACTGTCGATAGTTAATCCTCCAAGTATAACTAGGGCCGCAGGAAACAGGGTTCCTGTCCAGTGAGAACTTTTGAAATTTCAAAATGCTTTCATGTCCTGAATCCGGATGACAAATTGAAATCTCAAAAACTTCCACTAACTGAAACACTTGATGTGCGCAGGGGAAACAGTTTGGATCAATTGTAATGTTTTGTTTCCATTTTGAGTCTTTCCCCTTTAAGCTTTTTTTTGGGGGGGGGGGTCTAAATTTACTAAAATTTCTGTATAAAACGTGGTTTCCTTTGAAAAGCCAAAACTTTTTTCCAAACATTTTTGAGTCAGGAGATTTGTCGAAACTGACCCTGTTTCATGAAAAAGTTGGGTGAGGGAATATCTTCTGTTGGACCAACTTCTATTGGTGAGAGAGATGAGCTTTTGAGTTTACACACCACTTCATGAACAATTTTGCTTTGGAGAAATCGGCCTTTTTCAACAAAAAAAGAAGTTTTGCTGAGAAATTCTTGACCAGCTCTAATTGTGACCTCCACTAGGAGACTGCAGATCTTTGTTCCCTTCTAGTGGGTGGCCCATATAAGAGGCTTATGATTCTACTATTGCTCCTAGATAATGGCTTAGTCCTTTAGCCTAAGTGGTAGCAGCTTGTGCTTTGAGTATTGAAGGTCTTGGGTTCAAACGCTCTGTTGCTCGAAGTGGAGTCAGTTATATGCAGGGGTGCTGGAACAGTTTGTACAGTGGGGGTGCTGAGAGCCATTGAACCAAACTGTAAACCCTGTACATCAAGGAAACCACTTCAAGCCAGGGGATGCAACAGAGCCAGCATCCTCAGCAGCCCTAGTTCCAGCACCTCTGGTTATACAACGTCTTTTGCACCTGAATAAATTTGGTTTCCTCCTCTCTTCCCCGTATAACAACCTCATTGGCATCCATAAGAGGACAGCCAGCTTCTTAGGGGACTTGAAGGGAGCTAGTTCAAGTTTAGTAGGATGTTCTTGGTTACTGTAGCAGAGGGAATTCCAGCCAGGATCATCTAACCATCAACACACAGCCCCCGTTAGCAACAATAGCTGTGACTGGGGCAAGGGAGGGGAAACGGGAAGTCAACATCAGTGCAACATTCCCAAGGGGCAGGCTGTCTTGCTCAGTACAGCCCTCCCACAGCACTTGATAGATGAGCTCGGGAAGGTGTCCTGGCAGGAGGAGGTGCGCCTGGGATGTGAATGATGGGCTCGCTCATCGATGTCAGCAGCAGGCTGAGGAGAAGGCGGAGGGAGCTGGTTAATTCGTGTTCACACGTTTATCCTGCAACTTCTCTCATTTTCTTTCTCTTCCTTCTTCTTTCCTAGAGACTTGCCTGGCTTGGAAAAAAAGCTGAAACTCAGAAATGACCCTTACAGAAGAGCCACAAACAGGCATTATCCTGGGTGCTAGGGTGGTTCAGCACAGATCCCCAGTCTCAAAGGTGCTTGGCCTTGGACCCCACAGCTATCCGCGGCAGAGAGAGAGTTTGTCCCTTTGCTGGGTAAAAGTTTCATTCATGAGAAAGCTGTCCTTGTCTTGCTCGAATATGTCCCCATGGACAAACTCTGAAAGAGATTTCCAAATCAAGAGCCAAGTCCTGCCCTCAGTTTCCCTGGAGTAAGTGGGCAGCAGGAATTGGCTCTGTGTTTTTAAGTTGTCTCACTGCTGCACTGTCAGCTGAAAATGAACAAGCTGTAGAGTTTTTTTAGTATCTCCCAGGTGAATGTCTGTGTCTACAAGAAGCAGTTCCTAATGCCTCTGAGACATTTTGTGCTCAGATGTGCTAGATGACAGCATGGAGAAACCCTTAGGAAGTGGTGCAAACACACTGGACTTTGATTCTGCTCCCTCTCGCACGGGTGCAAATCAGGAGTCACTCCACTGAAGTCTATGGTGTTAGCCCAGTGGGAGAGCAGACTCATGCCCCTTATGTGTCTATATTAACTATGGGAAGTGAATTTTGCATTTGGCCCCTTTTCTATAATGGGCTTGAATCAAAATCCCTGAACTTTATGTGGAGAAAAGTTTGGAACTGGGACTCAGATCTCAGCTTTGGAGCTCAGGTCTATCTCTAGTATGTATGCATCCTCCCGTGGTTCTCCATTTTTCCCATAATGGGTGCCCTCTTCCAATCTAGCCATTTAGCAACCTGGGAAAGGCAGAATGGCCATGACCCTCTGACACCTGTTCATGTACATGCTGTAGGTCACAACCCCCAGGATAAGAGCCCATGTTCTCAAAAAAATTCATGCAGCTGACAGTCTGGAAAATGCCAGTGTTCAAATAATTAACCTTTATTGCTGCCACTGCCTCACCTAATCCAGGCATAGCCATTAGTGTTAGTGTGGTGCTACAGTTTCAAAGGTTGTCCCTGTTTTCTCCCTCCTTGTCTGCACGCCTTTCCTTCCTGCTGTTAAAGCCCTATGGAAACTCCCTGGGTGCTGTGCCTTTCAGGAGGTGTTGCAGACAGACTGTCCTCTTCAGGTACACTAAAGTAGCCCCAGCAGTTGTCACTGTGGATCCCAGAAAATACAACTATTTCACGGCCTGATCCAAAGAACACTGAGGTCAGTAGAAACTTTTCCTTTGATTTCAGTGGGTTTGGATCAGGACCTCACTCAGGAAGATCTTCTTGTGGTAGTGTTGGAGAACCCAACCATCAGCTCCAAACACCCGCAGCCTTATGGCACTGGAAATCCAGACCCAAATTTAGCCACTCAGACGCAGCTCTGGTTAATTCAGGCAGCCTCAACCCCTTCACTCCTGAATCCTTTGCTGCGACCTCCAAAATGTGCAGCCCCCGAGACTCCTAGGGGTTTGCTCTTTCGATGGCAGTGACTAGGAGGGAATACCTAGTGAGGATGGTCACACAGTATTTGTAGCCCTTTCAGTCAGAATAAACTGCAGTTGCTGTGGCTTTCGAGAACTGGTGGCAAGGCCTGAGCTGGGTGCATGACAGAGTCAGAAAGGCAGGCTGTCAGCATGACAGGCTGCGATGGTAGCCGTGGAGATCTGGGGAGAGGTTCAAAATGGCTGCCTCAGGCAGGGCTGGTTAAGCCAGTACTGCAAAGCTGGCGCCTGTAGGGAACCCTCATGAACCCCCTCCTGCCCCAGTCATCTCTGTATGGAAAAGCCTTGTTCTTGCTCCAGGGTTCAGTGGTGTGGAGTAGAAGCTGCTTTGTACTGAACAAGAACGCAGTGGGGACCACTTGGGCCCCCTAGAGAATGGGGGTGCCTCCCCCTTTAATATGCTCCTGGTTAGGGTAAATTGCTGGTTCTCTGCCTCTTCCTGTGTAACAGAAAACCTCCATTCACTTGCTCCTCTAAGTCCCTCAGCAAAGCCATTGCACCAGTTCTGGATACATCTCCTGAGGCCCGATTCCCATCACAGAATGGAACCAAGCCCTCAGAATCGATCAGGGCAGAGGATGGGTAGTGGGAGAAGGTCATGTGCTAAATCTGGTGGATGAGGTCTGGGGAGGGGAACAAGTGAATGACGTTGCATGGGACTGTCAATGGGCCTTCACTGCAGCCAGCCAAAGGCTTTGGGTAGGTTATTAATATTAAACAAAAAATAGTAATTGGGGCAAAACCACCATTTCTATTTAAAGACCAAACATGGAGGAGCGGGGGCACAGAGTACCTTAGGGCGGTGGGGCCAGAGATTGTTAATGCTGTAACTCTGATGCAAAATCTTGCCCGGTAGGGTCTCTGAGGAATGTTGTCTCTGCTCCCCTCTAGGAAGGGCAGACAGGTAAATCTTTAGGGGCCAGATCTGTGACCAGTGTAAACCAGAGGAGACTCGTTGACTTCAGTGGAGCTATGCAGATTTACACCAGCTGAAGATCTGGCCCCAAGAAGAATAAGTTGAGCTAACTCAGAAAACAAATCCTTTCCCCCACTTATAAAACACACTGACCTTTCCAGTGCTCAGACCGCTGCTGCCAGACCGGATTTACGCTTGACAAACAGAGCTGTGTGTGCTGGTGACAAGCTCTCCTTTTGGGAAAATTTGCTAGCTTGGCCGGCTACCAAAACCAACAGGGCCATTATTTTATTGTCTTATCCAAAGGGTTTAGCATGAAACCTCTGCCCAGCAAGGATGACCAATAAAAGGAGACACATGAGATCATCTCCTGGGGTATAAGAAGAGCAACGAACTAAGCGGCTTTAAAATAATCTTTGTCGGGTGCCAGTAGTCGGGGTTGCTCTAGGAGATGGTTGAGTCACTTCAAACATTTCAAACACGAAACAGCTGGTAGCAGACCATAGCAAGGAGTCCAACTGCACCTGATCTTGCTTAGTGAGTCAGTCTGGAAAGTTCACATGCTGAGAAGCACTGTATTTTCCCCATGGAGCATGAAGAAGATACTCACACAAGCTGCTGTCTGGTTCATGCACATGAAGGATCAAGCATTGGGAAAGGACCCAACACTGAAAGCATTGGGGTCACACTCCAGATATATATGGCCCAGATATTTTTTTTTCTCAGCGAACTTTGGCATGGCTGAGCCAACTTGTGATGGTGACCATTTTGCTACTGCTTGATGCATTACAGAAGCCCATCACTGGAGGCTGTTGGGCTCATTTTCATCTCATTCCAATGGTGGCAATAAGTTTAGCAGAAGGCTGAATTTTAGGCTTAGTTTGGGTATCTAAATCTCCTAGGAGGTTTAGCAAATGGTCGTGTTTAAATATTAAACATTACAGGCCAAATCTTGGGGTCTCTCACCCAGGAAAAGCTTTCACTGGGTCAATGCCTCACTAGAATGGAGCATTTTCAAATTCCATTGGCTGCAGAGAGAGCCGAAGGTGCTCAGCATCCCTCAGGATATTGCCCCTTGACTGGGTGTTTTGCCTGAGTAAAGACTTCAGTATTTGGCCCTAAAATTCTTTCCAATCATTGACCCCATAATAAAGCAGAAGGAAAAGTGATGCAGAGGACGAATCCTGTCACTGAGCATCTCTAGATGCCAATATCACAAATGTGCGCCCTATTCTGCAAGTTGGCAGCAATAGGAAACATGATTTCTAAAGAAAGCCGGCTACAGCCGTATTCTGGGTAGGGACATGCCTGCGCAGCTCCCACTGATGCCAGTGGGAGCCCAATATATGTATCCAAAGCCAGGATACAGCTGAATATTTCCTATCACAGTTCTGAGTTTCTGCACAGCAAGAAGTGCTTGGCAGCCTGTGAACTTTTACTCTGTTTTCTGCACTGAGCAAGGTGGGGGTAGTTGTTTTGACTCATCCCCATTCATTTTCATCAAGGTCAGCTCATCACCTCATGCTCAGCTGATTGTGTAACACACTGTTAGCAGTTATAGCTCTCCATGGATACCAGAGACTATCTTTACTGGCCTTCTACTTACACAGAGCAAGAAGAGCTACCTCTTAGTGCAAGTGGCAGAGACTTGTGCATTTGGTGCTGATGGACACAAATTCAATCCTTATTTAGGACCAGTGTCTGTGTGGGTACAGCCCCTGCTCATCACAGCTGTAAGCTATAGCAGCCATTCTGGCAGCAGGAGGTTGTTCCAACTGAAGATCAGTTGGCTGCAAGTCCCTGAGACCTTTCAAATTCCTTTGGGTCGAAGTCAGAGGCAGGAGATTTGCAGATGATCACAGTCAGTTTCCTTTTTAGTGAGTTGGACCCCATGTAAACTAAGAATATTAATGTTTTCTCCTGAGCGGTGAGTTTTTAATTGTTTAATGGAGCACTCGGTGAATAGCCAAGGTTACCGTTGTGGAACCTAGGCTGCTATGAGCCTTTGATTATGCAGCCATCACGGCTTCATAGTTAAGGTTCCAAAATTAATACACACACCCTGAGACTCTGTAAAGAGCTAACAGCTTTATTGAATGTATCCAGCTTGGCTGGAGGTTTATATAGTACTAATTAAATGCTCCTGAAATGGGTCTTACGTAAAAACTGGTCTGGGTGCTTCAGAGGTTTTCTCTCCACTGTGGTTGTTCCAAAATCTGGTCTGGAAGCAGAAGGGGGATCTTTCCAGGACAATACGGTAACCTATTGAATGTATATTGTAGACCACCATATGGCTGCTGAATTTATCTCACCTCTAGAATTGCACCTGCCTCCAGCAAAGAGCTTCCTAGGTAGGCATGGATGAATACAGTATGTAAAATATACAGAGACAGACACACACATACATACATACATATATATATATATATATAAAACTGAAAATGCAATAAATTACACAAGTACAGTATGAATGTTTAAAAGCTCAAGGTGCTCAAGGTGCAATTATTTTTAAAGAGAACTTTCCATGTATGTGGATAGATAGCTCCCAAAGTGATAATATGTTATCCACAGTGGCTCCAAGCAAAATCATTTGCTCCTGGCTTGACCCCTTTGGTGCTCACAAATGCCTCGTGGTGCTTTTTGATTCTTCTATCGTAATGACTTGACCTCTAGGTTGATGGCTGAAGGTTCCTTCATCCACAAATTCATTCCCACCAGGCTCCAGCACCGTGATTTTCTGCAGCAAACCTGTCAATAGTCTGAACTTCCAAGCAGTTTGCTCTTTGCTAATTGCCCAGGCTGAGAGCGGGTGCTGCCAACTAACTTCCACATGACAAGTTTGCAGTGGGCAAAAAGTTAGATTTTTTTCCCCCAGTGGCAGCATTTTATTCGGACACCGGACTCTTCCAAAACTGTGAAAGCTGGAAAGCTAACAGCTCTTGTCAAAGTACAAATGAGCTCCCCCTCTCCCTTTCTCTTCCTCACCCACATACTTGCACAAGCCCTGGCATTTTTTATGTCTATATAAGAAGCATTTTGCTTCAGTGCCCAGAATTTCCCTTGTTCCCATACTTGTGTAACATGCTTTATGCTGCTTGTCCATCTGGCTTCCACCTTTCCATGTCAGAGGTGACTGCATTTCAGTGGTGCTATAGAAATACAAATCTTACTACTACCACTACTAAATTAACATTAATGATAAACTAATACAGAGCTATTCATCTATAAATCTCAAAGCACTTTACAAAGGAAGGGAAGCATCATTGCCTCCATGGTACTGAGGGGGAAACTGAGGCTCAGAGCAGAGACGTAACCTGCCCAAAGCCACCCAGGGAGTCAGTGGCAGAGGCAGGAAAATAACCCAGGTGTCCTGACTCCCAGTTGTCCCTGTGAAGCTCTTTTGGATCCTTTGGGTGAAAAGGGTGCTGTAGAAATGTAAGGTTATTTCTCCCTTTTTATGACAGTTGCTTTAATATCAATCCCATCCATGCTGAAGTCTGTGTATAATTCTCCCCATTATAACAGGAGTCTTAACTGTAACATAACTCCCCGGAACAGTTTCAAAAAGAAGTGTGCTATGCTAGCTACCATCATTGTTCCTCAGAAAATGAATGTTATGCTCCTCAAAGATGCATTTGTTCCCACCAGAAATAATCCATCTTTAATCCTATTACAGTGAAGGAAACCATCCAAGTTTCTCTAAATGAGAATGGAAGGATATTTCTGAAACAGGCAAATCTGCTCATCTCTGCAATGCAGCAAGCACTGAGGTGTGCAACTCCATTGCTACCCACCCCACTGGCCACCTGCCACCCTTCCCCAAGACCAGCTTTTCAGGTGACCCAGTGGGGACCTATGAATTTAGCAAGGTGGTGGACTCATGGGAATTTAGGAAACCAAATATGCAGCCCCCTTTCCCCATCCAATCCTTTCTGGGCAGCTGGCAAAATGTATTTAAGTTAAAGGGCCAGACGCTCCACTGGTATAAATCAGCACAGCTCCAATTACACCAATTTACTAGAGCTGAGGATCGGGCCCAAAATGTGTTGCAATTAAAAGGAAACCAGCATTGCTTGATCTTGACAGTAGAGCGTCTGCAGTAGTGCTGATGGTGTAGTCAAGGGGGAAACAGCTTTAATGATCAAAATAACCAGAGCGTTGCCTTGGGCTAACTTCCAACAGAGGCAGTGTACCCTCTTTGTGAATATTGGCCTACTTTGGAGTCAGAGAGTCTCCAGATGTTTATTTGCATGACAATAAGTGGGTAGGGGACCAAAAAATTGTGTGTGTGTGTGTGTGTGAGTGGTGGGGTTTCATCCCAAATTGTTTTGTTTTTTATCAGCAGCAGATGATCTCTTGACAGATGTGGTCTTGCCAAGGGAACTTTCACTGCATTTATTTAAGATGAAGGAAATATTTGTGCAGTGAGTTGGAAGGGTACAGAACATGCACAAAGAGTGAAGCCCAGAAAAAAGCTGCAGCTTGAACTCTTGTCGTGTAACATGTTCCTGAAAGTCTTACTGAAGATGTGCAAAAAGAACAGGGATCTAGCCTAATCCAGCATTTCTTAATCTGTGGGCAGGACCCCAGAGTGGGTTGCGACTCCGTTTTAATCAGGTCGCCAGGGCTGATGTTATACTTGCAGGGGCTAGGGACCGAAGCCCAACACCAAGTCCCACCATGCAGGGCTAAAGCCTGAGGACTTCATCACTTAGTGGTGGGGGTCAGGTCACAGGACCCCCACCTGGGGTTGAAGCCCTTGGGCTTTGGCTCCCCTACCCAGAACGGTGGAGCTCATTCTTTGGCCCTCCCCACCTGGGACAGCTGGGCTCAGGCAAGCTCAGGCTTCAGTCCTCCCTCCTGGGGTCATGTAGTAATTCTTGTTGTCAGAAGGGGGTCGCGATGCAATGAAGTTTGAGAACCCCTGGCCTAATCTAATCTGATACACAAATCCACGTATCTATAATATATCAAGTTGGAATCTCTTTTTTTTCGTAAACTCCACAATAGGATTTAAGTCTTCATTGCACTGGAATACTTTGCAAACACAAGCTTTTGGCATTTAATTGGACTGGGAAAGTACCAGTGTTCTGTTTATTATGGCCAGAGTGATTTCTGCATTCCAGTGTGTATCCAATTTCTTTTAAGATTATCTAACCAAAGGTGTCCTTTTCTTTCTTGCACTTCTAGGGTGATATGGTAGGATTTTGTTTTTTAAATGCACTTTACTCCCCCATGTTGAGTTGGTGGCCCCAGTTATCTTGCTCTTTATGATTATGCACAGGAACATCTATGGGTAGTTAGGTGTGAAGAAATCAAACATCTGCACACTACTGTCTCATCTGATACCGTCCATCTAACTGTAACTGACATCGTCCCCCAATGAGTTCTTTGACCAATATTTTCAAAAGTGACGAGTGATTTTGGGTCCCCAACTTGAGTCACTTTAAGGAGTGCTGAGTTCCAGAGGGTGAATGTGCTGCACTTTCTGAAAATCAGGCTCCCTTAAGGTGTCTCTAGATGGGCATTCAGAATCACTAGTCACTTCAGAAAATCTCCCTGCCCTCCTCTCCCCCACATTCCCCCATCCCCACTCGTCAGCAGAATAGCCTTCCTGGTCCGTATCTTGCAGTCCTTTCTGTTGAGCTAAACAGGAATTTTTCCCTGAACAAGAACTGCAGGATCCGGACCATTATTTGCATCTCTTCTTTAAGAGTAAAAAGACAGTTGGTTAAATGCAATGTATATTTATTGAATGTATCTGTATATAATTTGCACAGCCACTTTGTAAAGCAGGGTGACCACATGAGTAACATACTCGTGGACTTAAACCACTGATAATCAAACAATCCTCACTATGAAGTTTATTATATGTACAGATTTATATATAGGGTCACATTTCACTCTCATTTATGCTGGTAAATGCAGAGAGTCTGTCTGTGTGTTCAAATGTCTCCAAAAAAATATGTGTAGTACAGAGATGGGCCTGCACCAACCCCTTGGATCCAAGCACCGCAAAACTTCCACCAAGTTTGGGGATGTTGGGGGGGCCTCAGACCCATCTCTAGTGTAAAGGCATGTCAACAAAAAGCAGAACAAAGCAAGGATATAGTCACAGAAAACGCAACACTAAGGCCCTGACTCACCCAGCAAAGCATATGCATAAATTTAAGCTTGTGCTAAAAAGCTTTGCTGGATTGGATCCTAAAATACAATGGGCCTAATTCACCCCTAATGTAACCCCATTGTTCTTCAGTGAAATGTACAGTTACCCACACATTTAAAGGTACAGGACTGTCTTTTCAATGGGTTAAGTGTCTCCCTGTTGTCCTTTTTTCTTTCACTGTCTGGATTCTATCATAAAGGGACTTAACCAGACATGTTCCTCAGGAGTCTCCCAGCCTCAGTAGCCATAGAAACCAGCTATTTTTAGTTTGTTTTTCAAGATGCCAATAAATGACTTTTCTCTACTTTGGAAAGACAGAGGACCCGGTCAGCCTCATGTATTAATGCATGGTAAATTAGTGTCTTTTAAAAGCCATGCAAACTTCTTGTAAAGTACTGTATTTAAGAAGAAAAATAAATGTGAAACTTGTTAATAGGAGAGTATATAAACATGCAGAGTAGATTATTCACTTACTATTATATTTCCTATCTAAGAAAAATATTTGTAATAATTTTTAGAGCACACGCTTTAGAGTATAGATTTTATAGATGTCTGGAGATAAAGAGTATTTTTGGTACATGACATGTTTTGCTTTCTCCTTTCTCAAGCTGCTTGCTTAATCCCTGTCCCAGACATACATTGGCAGTATTTGGAAATTAAATCAATGCCTGTGAGAATGCAATCATTAAAAATCCCCAAACAATGACTTTGTTTTCTAGGATTTCATTCATGTTTGAAGCTGGAGGCTTTTTAAACAGGACTGAGAAACAAATGTGTATGATTAATTATCACGCCGCATTTTAATGAGTGACAGTGGCTTAGCATTCTTCAGCCAGATTCAATATGCAATATGAAATAAATGTAGCGGGATAGAGGATCTGTTTCCTTGAGGTTTTCTTAAAAAAAATCACATCTGCAGAAATTATTTAGGTCCCAGACTTGCAATGCAATGTAACGGGGCAGACCTTTGCACACATGCAGAGCCCCATTGACTTCAGTGGCACAATAATACTGGCACAAAAGTCCACCCACATACATCACATTGCAGGACTGAGGCCTTGATGGTATTTTCCCACGTACTTGGTATGACTTGATTAAAATTATGCATGTATACCTTGTACGGTATTTTTTGAATACCCTAACCTTATACACCCTTCATACAGATCACACAAGCCTTGTGGGGTGGAAAATTCTCGTAGGGCAATGGTGCTGTGCAAGCCACCCTTCATAGACTATCTGATCCTACAAAGGGCTGAATGTCTTCTGCAAGGTGCTGCTTGCCTCTCAGCTCCCACTGACTTCAACGGGAGCTGAAGGCATACTCTGTATCTTGCAGGAAGTACTGAGGATACTTTGCAGCATTGATGCCATAGAAACACAGGGCCAGATCCTCAGCTGGTGTAAATCAATGTAGCAGAGGATCCGGCTTACTCACTCCAACATTGGTAGCTGGGCTAGGAAAACTGTCCTGGAATCAGATCAATAAAACTCTCACGTGTGATGATGACCAAGGTGATTTTCTTTATACACTTAATAGCTATCCTAGGGCTATATATACATGTAGCCCAGTGACTTCTGGTGTAACATATCTAGTTTACAAGAATGTATTATAAATTATAGATGCATATCATGTCTGTATCTTGCACTGAAATACCTGCCTATTGATCTGTCTCCCGCTGATTAATTTTCTTTATTGACTAGTTCTATTTTTGGAAGCGGCTAACTGGCTTTATTTCTGTTCTTTTGTATGTCTCTGAAATCTATGCACCTGGAGTAAGCACTTTCTTGTTCTAACTGTAAAAGCATGAGTAGGAAAGCAGGTATGTTAATTGCTGTAATAAAGAGTCTTTATAATATCCCTTTGCAGTAGATGAGTTACATTTTCCATGTTGTTGATACTTCTTTATTATTACTGAGGTCAATGAATCTACACCAACAGGCTATTGCAAACATTGCCAAGCAAAAGGAGTACAAACATGGCACTTACAGATGGTGGGAAAGAGAATACAAAGAGTAAGGCTGAAAGGAGAACATTTAAAGAGAGTGCAAATGGGGTCATTAAGATTACGATCAAAATTGATCAATTGTTCCTTATTATCCTGACTCTCATGAAAACAAATAAGGTGTCACTCAATCAACTTAATGGCAGATAACATTAAATCTAGAGGTTTCAGAGTAACAGCCGTGTTAGTCTGTATTCGCAAAAAATCTAGACAGGTTTCAGTGGTTACCATGTTAGTCTGTATAAGCAAAAAAACCGAGGAGTCCTTGTGGCACCTTAGAGACTAACAAATGTATTTGGGCATAAGCTTTCGTGGGCTAGAACCCACTTTCTAGCCCACGAAAGCTTATGCCCAAATACATTTGTTAGTCTCTAAGGTGCCACAAGGACTCCTCATTAAATCTAGAGGTTGCACCCTTTGTTGTGTATATAGGCCAAGTTGTGCAAAGAAACACCCCTTCACATGCTGTGTATTTGGTAGAGTGGTGCAAAACTGGGGACATTTTGGAAATGGCTGTTTTGGATCCTGAGGGAACTGTACTGCCACAGCGAACAAGGGACCCCAGGAGACTTCTACAGAAGTTCTACTCTTGCAAGGATGCCTCCCGATCTGTGGGGTTTCTCCATGCATATTGGAGCATCTGAGGCTCAGAAAGGCCTGTCCCCTTCCCAAGCCCCCAGATACTTTGGAAACTCCCTGTGCCTGATTCTCCATTGTCTTGTACCTTCTTTAACCATTTATTTTGTGCAAAGCGGGTGTAAAACGGCAGCAGTGACATAAAGGCCTGATCCAAAGCTCACTGAATTATGTTGGCCTTTGGATCAGCCCTTCTGTGAGTGGAGAATTCCAGTCAGGTAGCATTTTATAGCCATTTTGGATGTGTCAATGGCTATTTTTTGTTCTGCGTTAGAACAGCGCCTAGCACAATGGAGGCATGGTCTATGACTGGGGCTTTTAGGCATTACTGCAACACAAATAAATAATAAATAGGGCTGTCGATTAATCACAGTTAACTCACGTGGTTAACTCAAAAAATTAATCGCAATTAAAAAAGGTATCTCTATTAATTGCACTTGTAATCACACTGTTAAACAATAGAATACCAATTGAAATTTATTAAATATTTTTGGACGTTTTTCTACATTTTCAAATATATTGATTTCAATTACAACACAGAATACAACGTATACAGGGCTCACTTTCTATTATTATTTTTTATTACAAATATTTGCACTGTAAAAATTACAAAGAAATCGTAGTTTTCAATTCACCTCATGCAAGTACTGAAGTACAATCTCTTTATTGTGAAAGTTGCAGGAGGCCGCACCTCAACCCTCCCCCAACCCCAAACCAGCCCAGCCCGGACCTACTACAGCCGGGGAGGAGGCGCCTATCCTGCAGTCCCAGCCCCAGAGCTGCTGCTTCTCCCACCCAGACAAGGTGCTGCTGCGGGGAGAGTGAGCTGGGGGGAGTCCTCTCTCCCCGCTGTAGCCCCGGGGCAGCCTGCACCCCAAACCCCTCATCCCCAGCCCCACCCCAGAGCCTGCATCTCCAGCCAGAGCACCTCATCCCCCCCCCCACACACCCAACCCTCTGTGCCAGCCGTGAGCCCCCTCCCTCACCCTGAACCCCTCATCCCTGGCTCCACCCCAGAGCCCTCACCCCCAGCCAGAGCCCTCACACCCACACCCCAACTCTCTGCCCCAGCCCTGAGTCCCCTCCCATACTCCCAACCCCTCAGCTCCACCCCCACCACATTAATTTTGTTATGTGCACCAATATGGAGGTGATGAGCTAAAAATAAGAAGAGCTAAAAATAGAGTAGCAGGACTTGCAGCAAGACAAATAAGGATCCTGCCAAGTGTCACTCGTTTCAAAGAATAAAAATATCTAGATCCCAAAGCAGGTCAGTATCATCATCCCCATTTTACAGATGGGGAAACTGAGGCACAGAGCAAGTAAAGTGACTTGCCCAAGGTCCATCAGCAGGCTAGTGGCAGAACCAGGACTAAAACACAAGTCTCCTGCGTGCCAGTCTGTTGCACCATCTAGTACTCCATGCTGCTTCTCTCTAAAGGCAGGGGTCTAGCAAAAACTAGCCACCTAGTCTTTAAAGGTCTTTAAAGGCTGAGTAAATTGTACAGGAAACTTTGGTGATGTGAGAAGAACTTGGACATGGCCTACAAAAGGTGAATCTTGGTGCAGTCTCCACTGTACAATGCACTGGTGACCTGATCTGAATCCTACAAGTCAATGGAAAGATTCCCACTGAAACAGCCCTGACCAGGGGTGCTGGAACAATTTATACAGTGGGGGGTGCTGAGAGCCATTGAACCAAACTATAAACCCTCTATATAATGGAAACCACTTCAAGCCAGGGGGTACAGCAGCACCCCCCGGCACTGCTAGTTCCAGCACCTATGGCCCTGACAACTGGAAAGGTAGATCATTCTGCGGACATATTCAGAAGCAAACAGTCAATACAGGAAGCTACCACAGAGATGTTGAGAAATTGCCTTTGAAAAACAAGATTGAAATGAGAAAGACAATTGATTTGTTATGGATGGTGCTTGGATCTGGATTTGTCTGGGGCTTGGTGTTCAAGGCCCACGGGTTAGGTTAGGGTTCAACAGGACTGAAATATCATAACTGCTTGGGCAGGAGTGTGGCCCAAAATGATGTAAACCTCAGAAGATCGATGCGATTTCTGTCACCTTGCAGCTTGCAAAAATAGGTCCTTTCTGGCTGGGATTCATCCCAGAACCACCCACTCGTGGGTTTGGATCGGGGGACTCTCATCCAACCCACCCTGCAAATGCTGGGGCATCTGGGGGCTGTTCTTTCTTTTCTACCAATGCTGCTGTAACCCAGAGCTCCTCCAGGAATGATGCAGCCATTCTGGTTAGTTTTAAATCAGCAGCAAGATATGCCCAGCTTAAAAATAACTGTTTTGACAGTATTGATGTAAATATGTGAATGGCATGTTCTGCTTTTTTCCTTTTGCATTCTTCATTGCCTGATTCTGTGTGGGCTGAAGACAGGCTGAGAGACAGGGTGAGACAGTGCCATCTATAGGACATTCCTCAGTTCCAGTCTGGGTAGGTTTCAGACAGCTGTCAGGAGTCACTTTGTTCTTGTACCCCTCATTATATCAACCAGACCAGACAATGTAACACCTCCCACTCTCCACAGAAGCCAGCCTGATCAACAAACTACACGAGATGACAGGCTTAAGTTTAAAGTGGGGTTTGAATTTACTGAGAGGAAGATGAGGTTGGAGGGGGAATAATATTATTTGCAGGAATGTCAAACTGAGACAAGTGGAATGAGTGAGATAATCATGTAGTACGATCCTGCATTAGAAAGAAGAAAGAGATGGACATTATGAAAGGAGATATCAGATTAACTGATTAGTTAATAGTCCAACGTGTAAGAATAAATGTTAAATACTATAATGTATAAGGGCTTTAAAATGCTAAAGTACAATAGTGATTTAAATATTACATAATACTAAATGTAATAATAATAATAGTTAATATTAAACCCAGAGATTTCAGCTTGAGCTGAGAACTGATGTCTGAGAAAACTCAGTGCACCTAATACAGCTCCAACCCTAACTGGGCATGTCCTGTCCCTTTATGTCTGAGGTTGCATGGGAATGGTATAGTCCTGTGGAGTAAGAGAGGCAGATCCCCTCCCGGGAGTTGTCGGTGGTATGACCCTATGAGATGTGCGAGTGGTAGCGCCCGCTGACCCCCCCTCCCGCGGCACCGACACAGGGAATTGGTACCGCCCACAGGGGCGTGGCCGGGCGGTGGTTGGCTGCGAGGCGGCCCGGCGGGCGGTTTGAAGGCGGCTGGGTGGGCCCCAGCCCGGCCGTGGGACGATGACGCGGGGGAGCTATCGCTGTCTCCGTCGGCGTCCGGCGGGGAGACCGAGGTGAGGGCCGCCACGGGAGCGCGCAGCAGCCTGCAGGGGTGGCCGGGAGAGCGAGAGGCTCAGGTGTGAGGTTGGGACGCCCCTGGGGCAGAGTACGCATGCGCGGAGGGAGAGTGACGGGGAGACCTGAGACGCACGCACAGCCTCTTCGAGCGCCGCTCCAGCCTGCGCTGGTGGGACCTCGTGGCGCAACGGTAGCGCGTCTGACTCCAGATCAGAAGGCTGCGTGTTCGAATCACGTCGGGGTCAAGGTGCCCCCTGGCTTGCAGGGGGATTTATTTTACGCCCTTAACAAACTAGAGGTGGGGTGGGGGCGTTTCCTCTGGCGTAGAGGGATAAGGGGAGGTGATCCCCAGGCATAAACACAGGCAGTCTGAGACAGGGCACTGGGGGTCCCCCAGTAATGATCCCTGGGAAGGGTGGGGGGGGAGCTGAAATAAAACACAAGTTGATGGTGCATGGGAGGGGTGCCCCTAAAAGTAAAATGGAGGTGGCTCCATTAAAATGGAGGAAGATAGGGTCTGTGGGAATCCCCTATGCTAGGAATCGTGCATGGGGGTGCAGTTGGAGGCAGTGGGGGAGCAGCATAGGGTTTCCCCAAAGCAGAGGGAGCTAATAGGAAGGATAAGGATTCCCCAAATTAAAACAAAGGGCAATTGGGAGGTGTGGTTGCAGGATAGAGCCCTGGGCAGGAGTCACCCCAAGGAGCATTTTTATATATATATATATATATTTCTACTCATAGGTCTTGTCTATACTGCAGTGGCCCAGCTGCAGACTTTCAGTGTAGATGCTACCTAGGCCTCTGGGAGGGATTCTCCCTCTGCGCAGGTAATCCACCTCCCCAAGAGGCAGCAGCTAGGTCGAGGGAAGAATTCTTCCCTCACCCTAGCACTGTTTGTGTGTGGGGGAGA